CCACGGTGCTGCTGGCCTTGCCTATCTCTTTCAGCATGTGGCATTCACTGAAGACTAGCCAGACCAGCTCTTCCCAGACACGGTAAGGTTCCCAGTGCTCACAGCTCAAAGTCCTACAAAAGAGAATGTGCTGCTGACCACAACCTAAACAAACAAACCCTGATCCAGGTAGAGGGTTCAAAGAACAGAGCTACATGGCCTGTTGTGCATATACCAGCCCCGGTTCCCTGTGCAGAGCAGGCCCCCTCCCCATCCTCTGCCTCCTCCAAGGGCACTGCTACAGTGCAGCAGAAAGGGAACTCCCCAGTCAGGAGTTCTGGGCACCCACCCAGAGCTGGCTGAGACTCCCCGCGTGACTTGCCAGTGACAGCACCTCTGGCTGTAGCCGTTTCATATGTTATACGGCAGAGCCAGACTCAGAGTTGGCTCAAGTCCCATGCAGGATCCAGGGATTTGGAATGAGAAACAACACGGTGAAACATACCTCCATCCCAGATCCTCTTCCCAAGAAACCCCTTTAACACACGCTCAAAATAGAGGGGTGGTGTTTCCAATGCTTGAAGATCAAGAAGATGAGGGAATACAGGTGCCTGGCCAAGACAGTTATCCCCAACCACACAGTACCACACATGGCCCCTGCCTCCAACAAACCAGGCTTTCATTGCAACAGTCCCAACTTTCTAGATATGCCATGGCTGTCTCCTAACCTTATACTAGAGCTGAGAAATCCCTGCCACCAGTGATGCCATCACCATGTTAAAATCACTCGAGTGTTTGCGGTGATGCTGGTGGGAACACACACCTCATTGCCAGTCATGTGACACAGCACAGCACACACACATTATGTATGGTGCAGAATAACTGACTAAATTCTTGGCCCATGAATCCAATAAATTATACTTCTATCGTTATTTCACTGTGTACTTAACTTTTCAGTTTTACTGCGAAGCATTGTGACACGCTACATATTCTCATAAGTCCCCTATTTACAGTCTCTTGACTGCACAAAGTGGCCATGTGCCGTGGCTGACCAGCTCACCAAGGTCTGCATTCCTGAACTGTGTGGTGATTTAAGAGGCTACCCAGCCACACCACCCTGGGGTGGCCATGGCATTGAGAAGCAAGTGAATGCATGGGTATACATGTGTATAAAAGCAGCCCCGAGCTCACACTCCCGGGAGCTGAAGCAAACTGGCAGGCTTTCTTCTTCATTTTTCAGGCCTGTCTCGGGGTCACCATTACTTTCTGGCAGTGTCTGTGCAGATAAGTGCTCAGGGACAACATGGTTGGAGAGGTAGAAGGAGACCACAGCTGACCAATCCCTACTCTCCCCAAGCAAGGCTAACAACACAACCCAGCTCTTCATCCCACGCCACTCCCAGGGATAATGCGATCTTAGGCTGATTCACCTGCTCTGTGGCCTTTTCCCTCATGCCTGACTCACATGGACACAGTGGTGGAAATGGTTCTCTAGAGTTGTCAAACTTGGACACACTCTGCCATCAGCTAAAGGCTGGCTCTGAGAACACACCTCCTTGGAGCCTGGGTCCAGATGCTGCTGACCTTGGCTGAAGGTAGGAAAGGACTGTTCATGGTTATCTTACATTGTTCCTAGGGACTTCAGCGGCCACTGCCAAGTACAGTGAGATGGCCCCTGCTCTAGGGGCACAAGGTTGTTTAATTTGAAGGCCCAGATGAAGGCACCCCTAGAGGCAGGCATGAGGCTCATACAAAGCTCAGAAAACATGAAGGCCTTCCCTTGGGGGCTGACAACAGGGGTTAGCTGTCCTGGCCCCTGAACCCTGGCATGATGCCTGGAAACTGCCTATTCAGATGCTTGTTTGCAGCAGATTGTAACAGGACCCTTAGAGCACAGATTGATGGATGCTTCACTCAGCCCAGCCTTCCCAAGGGGCCGCCTTCCTCTGCTCTTGCCCTTCCTTAGTGGGCCCTTCTACCACTGCAGCACTTACGCAAACACCTTTTGCCTTTGTGGGGCTCTACTCTGAGCAGGGCAGGCCCTCTTGAACACAGACCCAAAGTCGTCTTCTCCTTCTCCACAACTCTTCGTATGTCCAGCAAAGAAGAAATCTGGAATCAGGGAGACTTTTCACTCTTCAACTTCAGTGTCATGGAGTGGGGGAGCTCAGATCTCTGGACCTATCTAATAGTACCCAGTGGCACCGGGCATTGGTGGCACACACCTTTAATCCCAGCACTCAGGAGGCAGAGGCAGGTGGATCTCTGTGAGTTCGAGACCAGCCTGGTCTACAAGAGCTAGTTCCAGGACAGCCTCCAAAGCCACAGAGAAACCCTGTCTCGAAATAAAAAAAAAGTACCCGCTGGCTGTTACCACCCTGGCATGAGCTTCTAGATAACGGGAAGGAAGCAAGAAAGTGGCTCTCTGAGTGGGCGACCTCATCTTCAAGGGAAGAAAGCACCACAGCTGACTTAGGTTGACAAGCTGTGCAGACATGAGCACTGAAGACCCAAACCTGAGCTGCTAGCACCTACTCTGTAAGTGCAGGCTCACAGTTCTCACCTGTATTAAGCCAGACATAACTAGGCTTGCTTGCTCTCCCTCCCTTCCCCACACCCCCCTACTCCCACACCCCCCACCTCCCACCCCCACCCCATCTCCTCAGCTCCCTGAAGCCTGGGCTGGTTTTCAGCTCTCCCCTGTTGTGGGATATTTGATCACACTATGTGAAAGGCGCCTTTTGATTGGTTTAATAAAGAGCCGAATGACCAATAGCTAGGCAGGAGAGATTAGGAAGGACTTCTGGGGATGGGGGTAGTGGGGGGAGAAGAACTGGAGATGAATCTAAATGCTCCAGAGAAGCCAGTGAGACCCTGAGGGAACTGGACATACAGAATGGAGGAGAGGTAAAGAACCCTGTGGCAGAACATAGATTAGTAGAAATATGTTAATTTTAGTTATAAGAGTTAGTTGGGAACAAGCCTAAGCTAAAGGCCAAGTTTTTATAATTAATAATGTCTCCATGTCTCCATTTGGGGGCTGACGGTCCAAGAAAGTCAGACTACATGCCCCTTTCTTTCAGAAACCCTTTCCAGAGAGTTCCAAATGGTGTCTACCTCATCAGAAGAACCTAACCTAGCAGAAGGTGGGAAGCCTATAGCTTCCCACACCATGATGCAGTGACTCTGAGGTCCTCAAGCCTTCCTGCTTCCTGCAGATGACAGCTGCTAGGTAGTAATCGCCCCTCCGTTATACCCAAGAAAACAGAGCTGTTCCACATCTTCAAAAGTGATATGGAAATCAGGCCAGACCTCAGAGTATGCTGTCCTGCAGCATTGACTAAGGACAGAGCCTGCTCAAACCCAGGTCCCACTTGCAATGAACTGTGTCCCTAAGCAAGGTGCAGAGTTCCCTTGCACCTGTTTCTTCATCTATGAAGTAGGAGTGATTACAAACATCCCAGCCTTCTGTGTTCTCCCACTGGTCCTGGCTCACCCGCTGTTGATGCCCACTCCCTCCCCCTGGTTTTCATAGCTCTAGCGTCTCACCAGAACCTCCTGGGAGCTATCGAATGTCATGTAACTATGTCAAGCCGATTCTCATTTATTCTGGACTGTGGCTTGTGGATGTTCTCCTAAAAAGACCCCTGGTGGGTGGGTATTCCAAGCTACCCAAGCCCTTCCCGTTCCTGCTGGCTCTTGCCTCTTCTTCTCTAAAGCCCCTCCCATCCCCACCCTCCCCTCTTTATATGAGTGCTCCAGTCACACCTGACATCTTCTGCTTCAGCCTTCAGACAAGGACACCCTGGGTGGGAGCAAGCCTGTCTCGTCAAATCCTTCCACTGGGTGTACAACTGAGGAGTGTAATTAAACTGTACACAGCCTCATATAGTATGCCTTTACCTCTCTTCCTTCCCTCCTGAGGGTGGCCATTTGGGATCAATGGCTCCAGGTCAGAGGGCAGGCTGCATGGGGTCTACCCACATGGTAGACAAGCACTGGGTAGCTACTGCCTTCAGGACCCACTCTGCCACCCACACAAAGACAAAGGAGCCACTTTGATCAGAGATCCTTCACATAGTCTTTGGGTTTCCTCCCACTGTGTACCCGTCTGCCTGCTTCCTCAGTTTCTCTAGTTGGTGTGGGCTAGAGTCCACTTTCTGGTCTGGCAGGGAAGCAGCCATGCCATGCTGAGAGCACCTCACCCTGGTCAGTCTTTGTGATGAAGCTGCTGGTGTAAGGCTGGCCCAGTGGAAATTCTGTTTCCTGGGCTGCGGATTAATCATGTGTTCAAGCAGATTGTTCTCTGAAGGGCTGGGTGAGTCCAGAGGGAAAGGCGCACCCCTCAGGGTGGAGTGGAGCCCCACCCCCAGGCATAAGCAGCCTGCTCTGCAGGACAGGAGCAGGAGAAAAGGACAGCGTCTCCAAGATGCCCACCCAACCTCCCCTAGAGCTGCAGGGGGAGCTGCGCCCCTCCCTCAGGACAAGAGGCTAACATGAACTGTTAGGAGGCACTTTCTGTAATCCTTGGGATTATCTGAGGGAACGGGCTAAAAATGTATGTGGCCACATCCAGCACAGGATACAGGATATAGGAACTCCACATTAACCAAAGCCCTGGGGTTGGCTTCTGCTTTCAACCTTGGCTTCTGCTGGACCCAGCAGATAGGAACTGATACTATACCCTTGTTTCCGTTGGCCACATATTCTATAGCCCAGCCGTCGTAACAGCTGCATTCCTGCTGCCACTGGTCCCAGGTGGCCTATGAACAAGCTTGTTGACAGCTGCTATCCAGACCAAGCCCAAGAGAAAACAGTGGCTACTTTAAGCCACCCAGAACATCCCAGCCTGGCCTGGCACAAGGAGAGACATCCCAGTGTCACTGAGCAGAGCAGATGTCAAACACCATGCCTTCAGAGGGCATTCTGCAGGCTCCAGAGTTTCTCACACCCTCCCGCCACTTCTGCAAAGCTAGCTTGCATGTGCTAAGGACACCAGGACCATCTGCCACCCTACTCACCTGGGGAAGACTCGTTTAGGCCCATCATATCATTGGCCCTCTGGATCTTCTCCAGGCACATGGCTTGCTCCTTCTTGAAGATGCAGTCAGAGTGCATAGCAATAGCCTGTAGGACATATAAAACAGACAATGAGAGAGCAAGGAGCTCCATTGAAAGCCCCTTGCTTTGACTTAGAAGTAAAATGGTAAGGAGGAGGATGACAGACCTCAGATCAGCAGGGGCAACAACATCTGCTTTGTTACAGATGCCATGAGGACTCTCCCCAGACCCTAACTCAATGAGTGGGTCCCACAGGCTCCTGAGCCTCAGTCTCCACCACACTATGGTGACATTAGCAATTGCATGTGCTGCCCTCTAGCCGCGGAACGTCTGTGTGTGCATGCATGCTAGAAGCCCATCGACGTTGCAAAGGAGGGACTAGTCTTATTTTCATCACTTCCTGTGGCAGATGTGTAACCAAGTAGAGATGTTGGTTAACTTGTTCCAAGACACATGGGTGGCGTTAACAGAGTTGGAATCTGGTGTGTTGGCTCTTGCTGCACTTTAATGGGAGGTGAGAAATGGTAAACTGAGGGCTACCAGAGCGAGTGTCCTTCCACAGCAGACGAAGGGGTAATGGTAGGATTCAGAGGCCTTTCCACTCTCTTTCAGAGGAAGAGAGACAGGCTCAGAGATGGTATGGTACAAAGCCCAGCTCAGGCTCCACAGCAGGATCCAGGGACTTTACAGCCACACCCTGCTATCATGATAGATGACTAAGTTTATTTCCATCAATCCCCAGGTCAGAAATGGTTCCCTTGGCAAAGATCTGAGCTGCCAAGGGCCATGTCCCAAGACAGGTCGAACCCCGGCTGCTCACAGAGACACGATGTTCCTGTCCTGTCACATAGGTAGATACAGATCAGAAGGCTGGGTACCAGGCGCTCGAAGGACAGTCTAGTCCTGACCCAAATGGAACTCTCCTCCTCTCCTGATCTTCATCCTTGCTTAAGAGAGATCTGAGCAGAGGGCAAGCCCCTGAGTTTAGATGTCAGAAGGTCTCATGAGATGGGGACCAGAAGACCATTCCGTGGCCCTAACCAGAGACCCTGCACACAGTTGAGTTATCCAGATACTATGCAACTCTAAATGTGATGGCACATGTCACCATCTTAATAGATTTGTAAATTCTGTAACAAATTTCAGTCCAATCGGCACCAGTTGAGGAAAATCATTTATCTAATTCACACTACAGAACCGTGAGTGGTGCAGTGTGTGGCGGGGGAGGAGGCGGTGAGTGTTGGCAGAATTTGACAGACGTGCCAGTGGAAGGGACAGCTTGGCTGAGAGTACACAGAAACAACTGGTTCTCCAGGTGGAGACTCAGTACATTTGTGCAGGGAGACTCTAGGCCCTTACCACAGGCAGCAGGAGGAGAGCCGTCAGGGAGCCCTGCAGGACTCTGGCCATGGTGCTTCCCAGCCTCTATCTCTGGCTGTTGCTCCCAGCAGTGGAGAATCAGAGCCAGAGCCGCTGTCCACAGGCTGAAGGGAAGGAAAGACAAAACACCGTGTCAACTGCAGTGGGTTCCCAGTCCTGGCTTCCAGGCCTGGTTAACCCTGGGGGCCCAAACTTCTTTTTTCACCCTTCTGTCCTACTGACATGAGTTGAGCACCATCTGCACTGGGCCCGCAGTAGGCCACTGCATGTGGTTACATGCCAGCTCAGCCACCAGGCTACTGGAACACTCTAAGGCAGCTTATTCCTCTGCAGTAGACCAGCTGTCTCCACGTCTCAACATTGTCTGCTTCCACACAGGAACAGCATTTTGGCTGGCATATGCAGGCCCACCTAGCAGTGACATTTACCAAGCTCCCTTGTTCTCAGGCACCAGCGTGAGCCTCTTGTGCAGGGCACACATGCTCCCAGCTCCTTCCCTTTCCCTTGTAAATGCAGGGCCCACATCTTCAAGAGGAGATGGAATAAATCCATTCTGCTGGCGAATGACACTGGAGTAGAAGCCAGGATCACTGTGCAGTCTGTGGCAGCAAGACACCTCTCCAGCCTGGGTGGCCTAGCTAACTCCAAACAGCTCTGGTATGGGAAAATGAACTTCTATATCAGCTGTTCACTCTGAAAGGGCCTCTTTGCTCCCACTGCATAGTGGGGACAAGGACATTTCCCTTTCACCCTGTCTCAGCACACTTTGTCCTCAGTGACTACTAAAGGTGTACTCACACCTTAGGACAGGGCCCCAGGAGGGAGCAGAAAACAGACAGCTGGGGAAACTGGGGGAAGCAAGTTCACACCTAGACAGGGCCTGTTCTGCTTCTAAAACTGACCACTGATACAAATGTCTTGCCATTCAGGAGCTCTACACTGGGGAAGGTTTGCCCTTGGATAGAAAACAACATATATGCGACAACTCACTGCAGCAGCATCACACTGGCCCTGCTAAGCAGAGCGCCGTCATCCCTTCAGAGTGATGGTGGTTATTACTACATTGCTGTGGGAAGGATTATTAAGTAGCCCTATCAGAGCACTGCTAACACAGAAGCGCTTGCTGTACGGAGCGGAAACAACCCTGCCCCCCCCACCCCTGTGCCCACATGTCCTGTGTGTCCAGCTTTTGTTACTCATGCCTCTGTGCCCCTAGTGCTTGATCTTAATACTCTCTTTCAACCTTTTTTTTAATCTCCATCAGGCAATAAACAAATACCCAAATGAATAAAGACCAGCGACAGGAAAATGAAGAGAGAAGGATGCCCCTCCCCAGTCTATGGCTCACCCAGAGGTGCTGAGGAGGCCTCAGATAGGGAGGGGGTAAGGAGGGCAGGGTGGACTGGGAGAAGGCTGTGAACAGATAAAGATCAGGCACACAGGCTTGAGTTCCTATCCCTCCCAGCCCCATACACTCCTGGTGGCTACAGGCAGCCTTGGTTGTAGCATTGGTGGTTCCTCCAAAGGCTGCAATCACCTCTACCAGTCTGAAGACCCAGACTCTGCCTGCAGAAATAACTTCAGACTTGGTTAGGATAGAGGGATATCTAGTTCTGGAGACCTCAGCAGGAGTGAGAAGCCATCTTTCCCAGCTAGTTTAGGACAGAAAAACCAGGAAGAACAGGATGTCCTCTGCACTCAGGGCTAGCTGTCTTTCACCTTGAGTAACCTTAAGATGAAGACTCCAAAACAGGAGCTGTGGTCCCCAGGGAAACCCTTTAGGAGCAGGCTGTCCCCAGACACACCTACCTCCTAGCCATCCCAGACCCTCTCAGCCTCGTGCAGCCTGGGGTCACCTGCCAGTCTGGCCCTCCAGTTGAGTTGTGGAGATGGGCTTATAGTGGTCCTGCATTAACCCTTGTGAGAACCTTGGGATGCACACTGGGACAAAGAGAGCTGCAACTCTAAGGTCCTCTCTGGTGGCGGGAACATGATGGCAGAGAGCTGGGGAGGGGGCGGTGTTGGTATTCTATCATCTCCTTTTCCTTGTCTCTCTACTCCCCTCTCTGAAACAAAATACGTCATGTCCACAGATACTAAACCACTTTATTCCACAAGGCTTCCATTTGAAAGCATAATTATGGCCATCTGTCCCTTTATAGAGACCTAGAACCATGTACAGAAGAAAGTACTATGAGGAGACTCCTGGCTCACGGACACATCGCCCTCCTGCAGATATGGACAGGGATCCTTGGCTCTGTGTACAGTCTCCTAGACAAACCCAGGGAGATGCACAGAATGTCGAAACAGGAGCCATGAGTGCACACAGGTGAGTACCTCAGGTGGGGCAACCACTAAGCATTGAGCTAGGTCCTGGGTTACCACTGCTGCTCCACCTGACCCCTACCACAGATAGCCCAGGTCCTGGCTTCTCCTCCCGACTCTGCAGACCTCACGTAGCATGGCTCTCTGCTCTTCCAGGTGCTTCTGTCCTGCCCCGACTCTTTCTCAGTGGCACCTAGCGCATGCATGCCACAATGCTCTGTGGGGCCCAGACACAGGCCTCCACAGGCAGCCTTCCAATATGTGTCCCCTGGGTCTGGCACATCAGCCTGCTGCTTCTCTCTACCCAGTCTGCCTCTGCCTCAAAACTCCTTGGAGATGCCAGGGTCCCTGTCATGGAATGAGACAGGCTACCCTGAGAAGAGACATCAGGCCCTTTGACTTGGCCACACTGCATGCCCCACCCTGCACTGTATTAGGCAGGTGGCTCTGAGAACAGGGAAGGTCTGCCTCCAGGCTCTTAGTGGAAGAGAAGTGGGATGTTTTCCCTGGAGGTTTGAGCCTTGACCCTTAAGCTTCCTGCTTAGCCTCTACATGTTGTCTGCAAAGTGGGAATGACAGCCATGCCTGTCCCCAAGGCAGCACTTCAAGGATGTGCCACAGCCTGGCATCTGTGAGGTGTCTCCCACTCTGTGTTCATGATTCTTGTGCCACTGTGCTGTCACCTCCACCCTGTATCACATCTACGAGGACCAGCAGGCTGGCTGCTCTTTATCTCCTAATGGTCAGTACTTACTAAGTACTCAGTGTGTGCTGGGCACTCTTCCAACTTGAATACCCGTCAACTCCTGTAACCTGACTGATACGTATGAAGAAGCTCCTGGCACTGTCCTCGTTCTATAGGGGAGGTGACAGGGGCACAGAGGGACTATACAGCTTCTCCAAGGTCACACAGGAAGTACCTCATAGTGCTAGAAAGTAGTTCCAAAATGTATGTGTTCCTTGACTTCTGACACTTTATCACTTGTAAAGGAGCCTGTTTCACCCCCGGTGACTTCTCACCCACCTCAGAGGTGTGCAGAGCCTCTACTACCGGTTGCCTCTGGCCTGTACAGATGTAGGCCTACCTGTACCTGTTTCCCTCTTCTGAAAGAGCAGCTGTAAACAGGATATTTCAGTCCTGCCTGAGATCAACTTGAAAAGCCATGGCCAAGCTGAGACCAGAGCCGGAAGGTGTTTCCCAAGGTTACATGGTGTGGAGCCTAGAGATATGCCTGACAGGAATGGGATGTGGAATGAGCTTTGGAGGGTCTGGGAGACCCCAGAACATGCCCACCCCTCTATCCAGAGAAGGCCTGCCCTCCCAGGGCACCAGCAGTTCTGCAGTGAGCTGAGCAGGAACTGACAACAGCAGCTGCATCACCAGTCAGCACACTGGAGGATTGGTGACTCACGCACAGGCCTCGAGACTTTCCTCGTCAGAAGAAGGGGGGATTTGTAGACCCTTCAGTTTCCTTCACTGCACCAAACCCAGAAGAGGCCATCTGCCATGCTCAGTGGGGGTGTGGTTTCTGCTCCAGGCCACTTACAACTCCTCCCACAGCTGGTCCAGGACCTGAGTTGGAGTCTGGTGTCTCTCTGCATCCTTCCCTACTCTGAACTCCTCTGCCCTATGAAGCCCCTAAGGGATGGACATGAGGACAACACTGTCCCATCCCTGCCCTCTTCATACAGGCTTGGGTTCCACATATGCCCTGCATCAGAGCCACCTCCAAGGCAGGACATCAGGTAGTAGGGGAGGCTGGAGCCAGCCTAGCAGCTAGGAACACTGGAGGACTGCATCAGAAAATGGGTAGTACTGAGTGGGAAGAGATTGCTACACCCCTACTAAGGGAAGAGACTTTCCTGGCCACTGAGCAGAACAACCACAGGGTCCTTCAGGATCAGGACCAAGCGGAAGGAAAGTGAGCCGAATTCTGAGGCATGGGGCAATGTGACAGCAAAGTATCCCTGGAAGATGTTGAGGAAAGAAAGGTCCTTGGAGGACATCAGGGCAAGAGAGGAGTGGGGGAGGGGGCCTTGCTACCCAAGCCTTAGGTTCCCAGTGAAGAGAGTCCAAGGTGCACAGTGGCTGCCAGTGCGCTCAGCCAGTATGCCACATGCCCATCTGCCAGGGAGAAGGTGGGAAGAGCCAGGTACTGCTCAGAATCTAAGGAGAGCTAGTAGGAATGATGCCACTCCACGCTTGGAACCCCACCACCTGAAAGCCCACTTACTCACTCACTCTACCCGAGGGTCCCCAGCTCTGAACAAAGAGCCCCTCCCTCCTGACTTGGCTGTTGAGGTCTTGCCAAGTTTACTGTGAGATCCAAGGTGAGGTTTTGAATTGGCTTCTTCTTCATAAGAGGAACAGGAGAAGGGGCTTAGGGACTCCTTGGCATGCTCAGACAACATCAGAAGTATTTAATGCATGCTGCCTCCAGCTATACTTCGGGGGTGGGGTGTCCCCTGAGCACACTGAGAGCCTCTCCCAGTACCTACAAACAAATGCCTCTGGGAGACCAAGGGGAGCAACTAGTGCTCAGGCATCTTGAGCTCCAAGACCAGATGTCCTGTTTCTTCAACCTCTTGGACACTTTCTTGCCTCTAACCATCTAGCCCAGGAGCAAGGGACCCTTCGTTCACTATTTTTGCACAGCCAGAGAGTCAAGTATGATTTCTAAATGGTGCATTTTTAAATGGCCAAG